ATCTTATTTTTTCTCCAAAAAATGAAACCTCAGAAAGTTTGAAGCCAGTAAGAATCGGGTACCTCCCATACAAAATTGTCCAAAAATCGGTAATTTTAGTCAAAATTTCAAAAAAAAATTGTGAATCGATTCCGATTGGTCAAATTGCCGACTTATCCGTCAACGTACTTGATATGATCACAAGCTATTTTAAGGACAATAATAAATCTGGCATATGTAAAACATGGAATTGTTCAAGATAGGTCATTTTCTGAAGAACCTAACGTGCTAGAGACAAACGGTGGGTGACTTTGAAGTCTCGTGGCCAAGTCCTTTCAAGCCATACTAGTCACTGCTCTGGAGCATGAACTTTTCTTAAATTTGTCGATTTGTGTTATCAATTCAATACATTTGACGTACTTAAAAATTTGATTGATGCGACTTTTTGGCATTGAAAATTTCAAGAACACACGCAAAAATCGTATCATAATCAATGGCCTTGGCGCCCGAAGTATCGATAGATAGGAAAACGGTGAAACAATTTCCAATGATTGAAATACTTGTAAAGTTACCGATATCCATAGAAATAAAACCATACTCGCATCGAATTGACACCAATGGTCGCGGAAATAGGGTACATCGACCTGTAGAGTTTTCTGCATATGATTGAATGAAAAGCATTATCAGCACTTGACTTCGACAAAATGATGATATTTTGATGAACGCTTACCTTCCAAACTCCACGAATGTGCATTTTAGCTATCATTTCAGCGGTGAATAAAATTATGATAGATGTGTCAACTATAAACGTGACATACTGAAGAATAGGTAACTTTTCGAACGTTTTTGGTGTGTTAAGGGACACAGATGCAAGTGATAAGAGGGCACACAGTCTCATCAAACGCCGCACCCATAGCTAATATTCAAATGATATTAAATTGATTATGCTCTGATCAAAAAATTTTTTTATTATTCTTCACTCACTTTATTCACCCAATCGATATCTGCATTTTCATTGAGACTCTCCTCTGGTCCATAGTCGGCATGGGCAAGAATCAAGTCCCCTTTCAAACTTTGTTTGCGTCCTAACATTTTCACTAAATTATGTTATTCGATGATCATCACTATTTTGAATCAATTGAATTTTTTTTGGTTAAAATCAGGAAATATTGTTGTAAAATCGATAAACTTTACATATGGACAGATAATCCTTCCTTAGAAATACAAAAATCCAAGTATTTTTTTTTTGCATAAAATTAGACTGAAAGCATCATTATAGAACTCAATATTTCACATTTTTCCTTTTTGCAAATGCTTTGAATAAAAACTAATCTGCATGATGATTTATTATAAATAATTTAAGAAAAAAATGAAATTGGGAACTGGTTCCAAGTTGTTGTAGAAAAATTGATTTCAGGCGTGAATAAAAATCAGTTGGGATGATTTCTGAGATATAACGATGTGAATATCGAAAGCTTAATGCTTACTGTTGTGCTCACACTGGAACAGAGAATGACGACTCTACAAACACATTCAAACATTTGCGAGCATGTTGAAA